ATTATTAGAGAAAGAAGACGATTCGTTGTGTCGTTATCGACTCTTAATCTTCGTCTAAATTCAGTTTTCCCCCTAGCTTTTACGTTTCATTTAATCATTAGAGAAAGAAGACGATTCGTTGTACCGTTCTCGACTCTTAATCCTTGTCTAAATTCAGTCCCCCCCCCCCCCCCGACTCCCGCGTGAAGCGCGGAAGCTTCGACGTTTCATTAAAATATTAGAGAAAGAAGACGATTCGTTGTATCGTTATGACTTTTAATCCTCGTCTAAATTCAGTTCTCACCCTCACCGCGCGAAGCGCGGAAGCTTTTACGTTTCATTAAATCATTAGAGAAAGAAGAATGATTAGTTTGTACCGTTATGACTTTAAATCCTCGTCTAATTTCAGTTTCCCCCTCCCTTTTACGTTACATTAAATCATTAAAGAGAGAAGACGATTCGTTGTACCGCTCTCGAAAAAAATTAGTTTCCCCCTCCCGCGCAAAGCGCGGAAGCTTTCACGTTTCATTAATCATTAGCGAAAGAAGACGATTCGTTGTACCGTTAAGACTTTTAATCCTTGTCTAAATCAGTCCCCCCCCCCCCCGCTCCCACGCGAAGCGCGGAAGCTTTTACGTTTCATTAAATCATTAGAGAAAGAAGACGATTCGTTGTACCGTTCTCGACTCTTAATCCTTGCCTAAATTCAGTTCCCCCCCCCCCCCCGCTTCGACGTCACATTAAATTTTAGAGAATGAAGACGATTCGTTGTTCCGCTCTCGAAATTAATTTAGTTTCCCCCACCGCGCGAAGCGCGGAAGCTTTTACGTTTCATTAAATCATTAGCGAAAGAAGACGATTCGTTGTATCGTTATGATTTTTAATCATCGTCTAAATTCAGTTTCCTCCACCCGCGCGAAGCGCGGAAGCTTTTACGTTTCATTAAATCATTAGAGAAGAAGACGATTCGTTGTACCGCTCTCAAAAAGAAATTAGTTTCCCCCTCCCGCGCAAAGCGCGGAAGCTTTCACGTTTCATTAAATCATTAGCGAAAGAAGACGATTCGTTTTACCGTTAAGACTTTTAATCCTTGTCTAAATCCAGTCCCCCCCCCCCGCTCCCACGCGAAGCGCGGAAGCTTTTACGTTTCATTAAATCATTAGAGAAAGAAGACGATTCGTTGTACCGTTCTCGACTCTTAATCCTTGCCTAAATTCAGTCCCCCCCCCCCCCCCGCTTCGACGTCACATTAAATTTTTAGAGAATGAAGACGATTCGTTGTTCAGCTCTCGAAAATAATTTAGTTTCCCCCACCCGCGCGAAGCGCGGAAGCTTTTACGTTTCATTAAATCATTAGCGAAAGAAGACGATTTGTTGTATCGTTATGATTTTTAATCATCCTCTAAATTAAGTTTCCCCACCCGCGCAAAGCGCGGAAGCTTTACGTTTCATTAAATCATTAGAGAAAGAAGACGATTCGTTGTACCGTTCTCGACTCTTAATCCTTGTCTGAATTTTAAATATTTTCTTTGTCTATTCCCTTTTCTTTGTACGTCCTCTTTCTTTTCACTCCTCTCTTTTTTTGCCAGCGTTTATGGGGACCACCCACCGCCCCCTGGCTACGCTCCTGCGGACAGATGAACATGTTGATACCTTGTCCGCCCGGAAGCTCAGTGTTTTAAGGACTTAATTTACGGTCAGATTAGCATTCAGGGTCCGCCTTAGGTCCCTAGGCGGGGTCCAGGGGCAGAGCCCTGGAAGTTCAGGAGTTTTAGGCATTTAATTACGGTCAGATGAGCATTATTTTGATACCTAATTGATACCTAATTGATACAGTGGCAGGTCACTAATTGGCTTTGGTTCAGGGGGCGGAGCCCCGGAATCTCAAGGGTTTTAGGCACTCAATTACGGTCAGATGAGTATCAAGGGGCCGCCTAAGGGCTCTTGGTTGGGTCCAGTGGGCAGAGCCCCGGAAGTTCAGGGGTTTTAGGCGTTTAATTACGGTCAGATGAGCATTTCTGATATCTTATTATGTGTGACACAGGCAGGACACTATTTGGCGTGGGGTCCAGGGGGCAGGGGTTTTAGGCATTAAATGACCGTCAGATGAGCATCTAATTAAGGGCCCGCCTAGGGCCCTAGGTAGAATCCAGGGGGCAGAGCCCTTGGGGTCTTAGGCATTTAATCATGGTCAGATGAGCATATTTTGATACCCCATTATAATGTGACACTGGCAGTTAACTATTTTTTCTTTCTCGCTCTCTTTCTATTTCTCTTTAATATACCTTTTCAAAGAAAGTGTGGGGGGGGGGGGGCTCGAGGATCCCGATCCCCGCCGTTCCGCAGTCCCTGCTATGTAGGTATCTCAAGAAGCATTTTCTTGTCTGGCTGTAAATTTAGGAATTTGTCATTTTCCAACAAACGCATAAAGTGAGGAAAAATCTCGGAAAATTATCTCATTTCAGCATTATTTGTAAACCACCGTTATGGAATTAGAAATAAACCACGTTTGAATTCTATTTCTCCAAAGGCCCCCCCCCCTCCCCTATCAGTACGCCAGTGCCCCCTCCCCCCCCCCCCCCCCTTCGATCTTCACCTTGTTGGCGGGAAAATTGCAACTGACCTTTCTTCTTCTCTTTTTTTTTTCTTTCCCTTTCTCTCCTCTTTCCCTTTTTCCCTTCCCTTCCGTATCTCTCTTTTAGGTTTGCGGGGGGGGGGGGTGTAGGGGTAAGGTCATTTTGATCCCCACCCCGCTCCACACATTGTTGGCGGGATGAACCGCAACTGATCTCCGCTTCTTTTCTCCCTTTTCTCTTTTCTTCCTCTTTTTTGTTCCCTTTTAGCTCTCCTCTTTTCCTTTTACTTCCTTCTCTTTTTTTTAATGGGGACGGGGGGGGGCTAGGGCCTTTTTGCCCCCCCCCCCCCGATCCACAACTTGTTGGCGGGAAAATTGCAACTGATATCCCCCTTCTTTTCTTTTCTTCTTCCTCTTTTGTCCTTTCCTGTATCTCCTCTTTTTCTTTTTTCTTTCCCTTTCCTTCCATCTCTTTTTTTTTGATGAGGGGGGGGGGGGGGGGGGGGGGGGGGGGGGAGAGGCAACAGCCTGGGAGGCAAGTCCTTTTGTCCCCGCCCCCCCCCCCCCCGATCTCCTTCTTCCCTCTTTTCTTTTCTTCTTCCTCTTCTTTTTTTCCCTTTCTCTCCTCTTTCCCTTTCCCTTCTTTTCCTTCTCTCTCTCTCTCCTTCTCTTCTTCTGCTTGGCGGTATAGATTCATTCGAACTCAATAATTCAACACAAATCGTTTCATGTATCTGTTACTATGGTAACATTTGACATAGTGCCAGAGTGCCAGACCTCGCAATCGTTTCATTATTAAAGAAGTATATATAGGGTGAAATTGATACCTATAACAATCACCGTCTCATAAACTAACTATCACCTGATTGGTCAATCACTGTTACGCTATGCCATGCGCTGGCAACCAGTGAAGGTTGGCATTGATTTCATTGGACGACCAATTAATCATGCGATCGATGTTTAACGAGCCGCAGTCCGGAGTCGTCTGCGCGATCTTGAAGTATAAGCACATCAGTCGATGCGAGTACATCAAAATATGTTTTTGTGTTCTTCTCTCGACTTCATGGACATTCACAGCATGAAATTACTCCCGACTGTTCACCTTAGTTATTCATAGTGTAGGGATCAGTTAGCGCATAGTCATTGTTATGGATGAAACCGAAGCTTGTGCCTAATTTCATCTTGAAGGCCCACCAAAGTTGAACAACGGGGTTGAAGATTATTTTATGCTTTTTAAAAGATCTACTGGAGATGTGAACACCCTGATATATTTTCACTGTTCAACCGACCTTCCGCTCTAAATACTGAGTATGCAACACATCGTATCGACTTAAGTTATACTCATGGTCATAGACAACTAATGATTCAGTCATGGATACGACAGAAATCGTCAGCCTCTCCATCAACGTGATCGTCATGCTACTCGGACTATCGGGGAACGCCATTATCATCGCTGTTTATAGTAGAAGAAGAAAGCTAAGAAGAGCACCGATACATTGATCTTGTCTCAGGCGATTTTAGATTTCACGGGTGGATCGTCGCCCCGATTGATATCATCCGTACGCTCGCTAACGCTGTCAAAAGTGACGCGCTCTGTAAGTTCACCATCTACAGCAGCCGAATCGTGGCGTATTCGGCTCTCTACCTTACCTCGGCCATAGCGGTAGATAGGTGTGTTGCTCATAAAGAGCCGTTTGATCGCCGCACCTCGCCAAAAAAGGCGTTCATTGGTGTCGTATTCTCGGTGATGTTCGCAGGCGTCTCGCAGTCCTACAACTTTGTTTACGTTGATTTGGCAGACTTCGGAATCTGTGTAAGGCATGGAATGCCGGCGGCTGTTGAAAAGCTGTCTCGATCTTAACAACTGCCTCCTTTGCGACTACGCTCCTCCTGGCTGTCGTATGCTATGGCGTGATCTACGCCTCGATTCGTTCACAGGCTCGGTTCGAGCCGCAATGGTCGCAGTGCCTCAGTCAACAGTGGGAAACACTGGCACCGTATGCGAGACTTATTCAACGGATTGCGGTTCGAATGTAGCTCCCCAACCCACAGACAATGGTCGCCAGAACATATTCATCGTAGGGGTAAGACCGAAGGAAAGCCTTGAAGTGCCCTTTGATGATAAACACGAAAATGGAATTTCCAAAGAAAGCAATGAAGATGCCCATCCCCAAGGTCGGGGGAACAACGAAGCATGCACGACAAGTGGAGATCAATCGGGCATATTTCATGCAATACCTCACCGATCACCGGAGAAGAAGGTTGTGGTGAGATCACGAGGAGACCACAAGACCACCAAGATGCTTCTCTTCACCACCATCATCCTTCTCCTGTTCTGGCTGCCTTCTACTGTCCTTAATCATGTCCCTGGTGATGTTCTGACAACATTCCGGAGACAGTCTGCAGGGATGAACGCTCTTATCTACTCATGCTTTGCCATGAAAGCTTAAATCACATCGTCAACTTTTTCGTCTACCTCGTCGTCAACAAGCGATTTCGTGGAGATTGTAGGCAGATCCTAAAGAAAATATGGACACGCAATTAATTGTCGATAAAGAATAATGATATTTCATAAAGCTGTAAATTTCGCGATCTTTATATTAAGAAGTTTGCTTCAAATATGCACACACGTATTCAGCTCACCAGTATGACGATAGAAACTAAATGGATTATCTTTCGTTAAATATTCGTATCTTCGCTCATCATACATTAGATTCTATGAGGCTGGAATGACTTGAAATTGGTTTGAAATCAGTATCGCTTAGTGAGCGAGTGCTGATAAGTGAATAGTTACATAGCTCAGGGTCGTCAACCAGTTTGTAAAAGTGAATGGGCCACTTTTCGAGGGAGCGGTGAGAGTGTGGGAGGTGTTTTGCCCCTCCGCCTAACCGCTCTCTGAACGGTAAGGACTATTTTTGGCGAATGCATGTAGCCTTAAACCCCATGTAGGTGCCGGGGAGGGGAATTTTATGATCCCCCCCCCCACCAACTTATGAATGCGAGGGGGTGTCCGCCTGTCTTCTGCCTGTAAACGCCCTTGAATCAGTCATTATGCATCTCAATCTCATAGACCTAACGTTTGTTATTTTTGATATATTATCATCTTTCTTTGACATAGTGAGAACATCCAGGCGCCCAATAATATTTAAATTTATTGTGGTTGAAGAAAAAAATTATGTACACACTTCGCAGTGATTCTACCCCAAAAAGATCTGAAATTAATTTAGGTAAATATCGTACTTCAATGACGGCTCAGGTTTTAATCACTTTCATCTTAGCTGCAGTATTGGGTTCAAGAAGTGATAGTGTGCCTCAGTAGTTCTTCCATGATTCTGCAAGGGGGGCATAACTCTGATTATTACACCATTAAGGATTAAGGGGCATTTTTTCCCTGTGTATTGAAGATGGGGGTGACATGGTTGAAGATCCCTCAAATCTGCAACTGCTGTATCTTACAGAATAAGAAAGTTTATAAGTCCATGTAGAAAGAATAATTGTTATATATATATTGTTTTCTACATAATTATTATATCTACAAAATAGTCGCCAACAAATACATCTTATAGAACTCTTTTGGAAGAATTTCAATCGCTATACTACTCTCCCTCTTGTATTCATTACACGCATACGAATGAATACTCTCCGAAGCCATATCAAAATTTAGTTGGATATACCTCGAAATAGAAAGTGATATGTGTTTAAGTTAGAATGTGCTTATACATTTTCGTTAATTTCATGAACACTGGCACAAGTTACCTCATTGTATACGTTATACGAGTTCCTTGAGGATGTCGATAAGTGATTTATTAGATTAAAGCTGTACAAATTGGATTAGGTTTGATAAATGTAATTAAATTATTCAATTAAAAGAAAAAGTCATAAGATAAATCTGCCATGTATATGTGTAATGTTGAATTGCATTGTATCATTATATGTTTCGCACATGTTGTTTCTCTTTCATTCGACAGAAGACTACGTGTTAATTTTATGTGAAATGATGTCTGCCCAAATCTTTGAGGGTAATTTTCAATACAATAAATAACATGTAGATTCTTTTTTTATTTGTTAATTTGCTCCTAATTTTGACCGGTAGGTTTTATTGGATTTTTTTAAACTGACAATTTGTAAATAGAAATGACTAAACTTATATTAGGTTTGTAATAAACGTTGTTTGTGGAGTGAAATATTTGAATCTTCTTTTCCTCTCTTTTTGTTGGTGCTGACTTACAATAATAATACTGTTTACTTGGGAATGCCTCATCAACATCATTAATTTTTTTTCCTGCAACTATTATTACCCCAGTAATCGCCGAGTATCTATTTGCACCTGGGCTGGGAGTTGAAAATGTGGATTAATGTCTTGACAAAGGACGTTAGAGCCGGGCTGGGATTCGAATCCTCAATCCTTAGATTGAGAGTCAATTGAATCAACCACTATACCAAGACAACCCAGATGTTCATGCTCTCATGAGACGTTTTATTTATCTTATAAAGACTCCTGATTGAAATCAAGCAGTTATAAACATTCAACCGCTTTTGCCAGCAAATTGACACATTTAGCGTGATGAAACATTATTAATCTAATATTGAATATATTGAATACATTATGCACAATTATAGCTAATCATATCAAATCATTTTGAACAATAAAATTATTGTTATTATATAATGGTCTGCTGGCCTGGACCCCTTAATTATTGATGTTCATGTATGAACCTTGGTTTATTGTGCTTTGTATATAAACGTTGTTAGTATTCTAGGGTTTATATAACTCTACCTTGATACAGAAAAGGAGACAACGACCAGGCGCGGATCCAGGGGGGGGGCGAGCGGGCCTTGCCCCCCCCCCCCCGCAAAAAAAAAAAAAAAAAGGAGAGAGAGAGAAAAAGGAGAAGGAAAGGGAAAGAGGAGAGAAAGGGAAAAAAGAAGAGGAAGAAGAAAAGAAAAGAGGGAAGAAGTAGATCGGGGGGGGGGGGGGACAAAAGGACTTGCCTCCCAGGCTGTTTGCCCCCCCCCTCCAATCAAAAAATAAAAGAGAAGGAAGGAAAGGGAAAGAAAAAGGAAAAGAGGAGATACAAGAAAGGAAAAAAGAGGAAGAAGAAGAGAAAAAGGGAAAACGACACAACAAATCGTTTTCTTTCTCTAATGAAACGTAAGCTTCCGCTTAGCGCGGGAGGGGGAAACTCAATTCAGACGAGGATTATTTTTTGGAACGGTACAACAAATCGTCTTCTTTCTCTAATAATTTATTGAAATGTCAAAGCTTCCCGCGTTTCGCGGAGGAGGGAGGGGGAAACTCGCCCCTCCCTGCACCCACCTACCCCCAATTACGTCCACTGCTGGTCACCATTACGAACCAATATTTGGCTCGCATAATTTCAAATTTTGCCCCCCCCCCCTAAGAAATCCTGGATCCGCGCCTGATGTATATACAACGGCAACAGTTTTAATATAAAATGTAAGTTCTTCTTACTTAAATCATTGGTCTGGAAACAATTATTTGCCCATTGTTGTGTATTGTATTACATTTTCACTGACAATGACTTCACATTTTCAAGTTTCCCAGGCTTATTTAGGAGAACAGAAGATTGATATTGTTTAGTTGTACGATAACATCACTCAGTTTGATTTGATTTGATTGGAGATATATCTCATTAAAAACAGAGTAAAGGCTACACAGTTCAAACAAACCTACACCCATTAACTTCAAGCTCACTCACAATGATTTATTGCGACACTTTCAAGGCTACTTATTATTTCAAGTTCATGTATATACAAAGGGCAACAGCTTCAATATTAAACGTAATTAAATCAATGGTCTGGAAAATGTTAATGCCCATTGTTGTATATTATACAACATTTTCCATAACGATGAATATACATTGTATAATGCAATTTTCAGGAAAACATACTTGTCATTACTGTTATATTTGTTATATTACACTAAAGCAAATCGTTTCGCTTATCGATAAGATAAATCAATGTGAAGTACGTGTCAAATAATGAAATCATTACGTGCTATTTTTAACCGGACTAGACATTTGAAACGTATAAAAATGTATACACTATTGACAGCAAGCAAGCTTTTTAAACAAAGAATTCAGAAACTGAACAACATTGCACATTTTAGTCTATCACGGCATGCTCCTACACCCTTAGTTGGACTGTAAACAGTTGTCTTCAATTTCATTTTTTT